TAAAGTGCTGGCCATTTGAATGTGACCCGGTCCATATTTATGTCCACAGTGATCTACTCCAAGAAGATGTGCAATGATGAAGTCGGAAGCTTGTGGGGAACGCAACTCTTCACGAAGTAATTCTGAAAAAAAGAAAATGAGTCAATGGCAGTAGGCCTCGTAGATGGTTGTAGTGGGAGGCGTGCGGTCACGATGCGGTCGATGTTCACGGTTACGTTTTCCAAGGTAATATGTATTTGCAAAAAAGTTAGTAATCGATTGTAATGAGTTCCAATAATGGCTTAGAGATCTGTCGTAAGAGTATTGCACGCCAAAGCATTCGAATTAGCAACTACGGCTCCCAGAAAGGCTATGTTAACCACAAATCCACTTGGATCAATATGAAATTCATTTGATCACCCCCCCCCCCCCCCCCCCCCCCCCCCACCCCCCGCCCCCTCAATGTGGAATATTGAAAATGCAATAGGAAACGAAATGAAGAGGGCATCTCACCTCGTACGGCTCATCAAAACACTATGGCGAGGTCGTGATGTCAAACTGTCAAAAAGAAATGAGCAAAATGTGTGAAGAGATCCTGGAAGTAATAGGGACTTCGTATAATGTATGCTATACGAAGTTATTAAAGACTTAGAAGGAGAGCCTTTGTTGTTGATAGCTTAGCAACTGGCGACAGGCGCTCAGTAACTATGAAAAAGGAACGAGTAACAATGCAATGGTTACAGGTAACGGGCTATCAAGGGCACTTCCACTTTGAATGAGCTTCCACAATGGGCGGAGGGAGTGATCATTTTGTACTCCTACTGACTAGTATAGGGCGCCATTCGTTGCGGGACCCACTGCCTTAACCCGCGGGGATCCCATGTGATCGCGGTTGAATTCGAACATTCCAGCTTCTCACGCATGTCAAGTGTCTGCCCTCACCCCCCACCCCCCTAGACTGGCGACACTGCCCCTGGCTCACGGATTCCCCGCTCCACATTGAAGGGTTCACTGTAGCAGGAGGCAGTGGGACCCGTAACGAATGGCGTCCTTTACTAGTCAGAAGGAGTACAAAACGATGCGTTCTACCGGGCAATACCTAATCTCCGTGTAAAAAAATGAGAAAGACACTCTGAGGTCACACCTTTATGAGTAACCGCTCCGGAGTAGATAAATCAAACCTGAAGCAGTTGTCAAACTTTGCGACCAAATGTTAGCAAATCGCGCGATTTGCCGTCTATTCGAGCGATTCTTCAAGTATCTTTTTTGAGATATAGAACACTGACTGGCTCCTTGGAGACATGGAAGAGTGGGAATCAACTGAAAATGCTTCCGAATCGTTGGTTCGCTGACGATTGGTCGCTAAGTCTGACACTTCCATGACACATAGCATATTCTCCATGGACTGGATCACAGTTTTCAGTTAATATCACTGTTACTGTAATCACTGACCATGTGTTATCACCCATGAAGGTCGTAGTGAGATTCCTGCTCCACGCTTGGAAAACTATGCTGTCTTCGTTGATGTTCGGACTCGGAGCAAAGTTATCACCGGCGTCTATGAAGGTAGGCAGTGTTCCTGAAATTGTACCGAAGAATCTGTTCTGTGTGCTCATTTTGTGGCTCCTTTCGTGAAATTAGCCCATTCCATATCATAAGGGCTAATCACATGAAAAGAAAATTTACTGGAGGAGAATATATCACATGACAACATGCTGTGAACCAACAAGTTTTTTATTTCATGATTTTAACAATGCAGTACTGAGACAGAGCTCATTTCCCTATCCTTTGCCAAATCAACTATGTATGAAGGAGGACTGGTCTGCCGCATGCGTGGCAAACAACCCGTATTCAAAATCACTCACATCAAGGCTGGTTTCTTTCGAGCATTAGTCTGCAGAGCATAAAAGAAAGAAACTGGCGTTGTTCAACCCCTGTTTTAAGATCGCGTCCACGCGGTTTAGTTACATTCAGAATCGTAGCGACAATTTGAATGTGTAGATATGTAAATACCTTGTATTTGGTTACAATACTTATTTTTGTCACTTATCTATGTATCTACTTATCTATGTTCACTTAGCCTTTGCCTAGCCGATCTCTTTTGTACCGTATCTCATTTCATAACCCACTATCGTTGTACTTAATCTCCCCTTTTTTCGAAATCCTTGTGAATCTCATGATATCCACGTGGGCACCACTATATAAGGCTTTAGGCCCCGCCCCTTTGTTCTTTCTACTCTGTTGCGATCTGTCGAGCGGTTAGCTCGTAGTCAATAAAGTTTCCAGGTACAAGCTGTTTGACACCCCTAGACGACAGACAAGCGAGACCGGACCCGACAAATGCGATTTGGACTATACACATGATGAATTGCGGGGCCAACCGATGTGAGTCGATGTTTTTGTTCTCCCAGAAAATCTAGTATCAATGAACCGATCCAGTAGATAGATAGAAGGCCTGCTTGAACCGAACAATGCATGAACAAGCTCGATCCATGGACCAAGCGCGTGGTAAGCAGTGCTACTCGCCACTACACCACTTCCGCCAACTTGAACAACTTGTAATAGTGAAGGCTCCTAGTCGCATATGGATTGTGGAATGACGAACGCAAGTTTTTCAAGGTTGCTCTCAAATTCTAGACAAAGTTAAGCCGTTCGGAAGCAGTCAAAGAAAATTGAATCTCTAAGGGTTGCGCATTAAATTTCCACCTTTTTGACTTTATGACTCAAGGTATTTCTAGGTGCACCTCAACACTTCCAAAGAACAAAAAATGACTTCAGTCACACTTGGCAAAAATGCGAAGATCATCTGATCACTGTCTATTTTGATTGTGAGATGCTTAGTACCTACGTTAATTGCTGCATTAGAAAGGATCTCGTACCTGTAGTGAGAGCTTTGATTCTCTGAAGTGATGTCGTAGGTGGATCAGCTACAAAGAGACCAATCTCAGCACCACGCTCTATCAGTTTCGCCACGCCTGGCATTTGACCGCGGAAGTATGAGTGCGGAGCATTCTCGTCGGGTGGTACTAGGAAGTCGTACCGAAGGGCATCAACCAACAGAAACACCACCTA